TTTGTTTGTGGACTCACATGTATTCTTATGTGACATTCATTCTTTTGATTTGATTATTGAAGAAGTGTCTAAATCAGTAGTGAATTTCCATTTGTACAATAACTTGTTTGAGGCCTCTTTCTCTTGAACTGGGGAAGAGTCAATGGAAGGGAAGGTGCAGTGTGCTTATCAGGTAAAGACAGCTAGGACCAAATTTGTCCAGAGTTACTGTCCCTGGTTTCATCATGCCCTAATGTTAAGCAGAAACTGATGCCATGACTTCACTCTCTGTTTATCCTTATTGATAATGGAATATAGAGCCTTGTGCATGGTAAGTCAGGGTTCTACACTTCAGCTTAATTTGTGTTCATTATTATTAATATGCTATATCTCAATTGACAATTGTTACGGTTTCACATTCTTCCGGATGCACTTTTTTTTTGTCTCAGATGCCTCTTTTCTATTTGAATTAGTCATATATTTCATTGTAATAGACTTATCAATATACAAATCAACAGATTAGTCAGGTGTATTTTGAAAACCAGTAATCAAAGCACACGATACGCAGGGGAAGGCAAATGTCTTGAATTCAAGACCAATATGTTTAACATAATGAGTTCCTGGACAGTCAGAGGTACCACAGTCAGCGAATCATGAAAAATAATTAAAAAGGAGCAAACACTTTCTGACTTTTAAAAGACATTTTTGGAAAATTAATATTCTCCTCATGCTATAATTTGTTAATTGTTAATTAGTGTTTAATATTATAGTTTGTAAGATTAATATTGTTAGTATTTTCTGTGTAGTACTTATTATAGCCTTTACTCTTGCAATGACATCAATTGCAGGTTTCTTTAACATAAGGAAAATCAGGTCTATCTTGTCTTTGTGTTATCAAACTAGGAGTCAGGGCAGTTTTCTGTCAGGTCAGACTACCTTGAGAAAAATATACTTTACTAAAATCTCTGAAGCACTGGAAATTGATATTTGCCTATGAGATAAACTTTCATGTCTAAGAGAAAACTTATTTTTACAAAGATTTGTGTATCTATGCTCATATTGTGTGAGTGTGTTTTCATTGCATGCAAATGTGAGTACTATGAGAATGCAATGAGCAGAATACAGTAGATTGTGACAGAACTCCATGGAATTGGAGTTATTGGGAATTGTGAGATACCATGTGGGTTCTGCAAACCAAACCCAGATTCACTGCAGCAGCAAGATAATTTCCTTACCACTGAACCACTTCTCTAGTCCCACACAATGGAAACTTTTCATGGTAAGAATCATACAACAAGATACAAGCAAAGTGAACATAAATCAAGTGCGTAGTACAAACTGTGCAGAAGGCTGTAATGGGTTTGAAAATATCTCTCTGGCCTTGACCCAGACTGAGGAGACTGTGTTTGTGCCACACTATCCATGTAAAAGTCCTTGTAGTATTCACGTTGACTCTAAGCACTCTTTGGATTTAAAGAGCCCCATGACCTTGTGATGTGAATCTTAGTTGCGTTCTTGACAGTGGAAATACTGCTACTGTGTAGATCATCCAGTTTTAAACATCAAAGAAGATTTCAAACTGAGAGTATTACAGTGAGTCCTACATTGCCATCAATATTATCCATGCTTTAAATTTTATTTAACTCACAAAGTCATATTTTCTATTATAAACTTAGTTCTACAAAATATTAAACAGTGGCTATTTTCATGTTACTTAGAGGATACCAATGGATGTGACCAGCATGACCACACTCTACCTTCCTGTGCAGATCCCATTAGAGTGAATACAAATATCCATCAGCAGATTGGGCTCAGTGACCTTATAGTTCTAAGCATAGGATGGTTCTCACACTGTATTTGACTCTGGTTTCTGTTCCTTTTCTTCAACATTGCTTCTTACTTAGCTACAATGAATGCAGGTGATTACCCTAATAATCTGTTTTCAAACAAGTGGAACAGATTGCGTTCAAGAAGTGTCAAAGGCTACAACAGCTTTTGAAACATACTAACTTGTCAACAGTTGTAATTTTTTGCATCTTCACAGATGTGGCAGCACAGGGTCACCAGCATCAATTTCCTTGAAATGTTCCTGGCCTGGCAGCAGGTAATAAACCCTAGGTATGTAGTACTTTAAAAAGGCTTTCAGGGATACTGGGTTTTCATTTGTCCCATGTTGAATAGTGTACATGTGAAAAAAGTAATTGCTGGCCCCTGAACTCAGAGTCATGTTCCCACCCTTCACCATAGGCAATGATAAACAAATCGTGATGGCAAGGCCACACCTAACCCTGAGGTAGGTGACCATAGTGGACCAGACTGACCACCTCCTCTATAATTTAGGTCCAAAGCTAAACCTTGAGTTGGCCCACTCTAACATCTACCCATGTAGGATCTGCTGGGGTTTGTGAAGGGACCAATCCTATGAAAGAATACCCACAGGATCACCAAGACATGGAACAGCCACAGGATAACCCAGAGGAGTTCCATGAAGATCCTGTGATGATGGTGTACCAGAAACCAGAGGCCTTGAACCAGAGAAGTGACCCCTTGCAATGATCATTTGCTGGTAAAGCTGATAGGACACGGTGGCCCCCAGTGACACCAGCACAAACGAAATGCAGATGGAAAGGCAGGAAAGGAAAAGCTGAGACGTATTTTTTCCTTGTGTTTTGTTCTTCTAATTGTTTGTGGACTTGTTTTCATTGTTTTGTTTTCTTTTGGGGGGGCACTGCAGGTGTGAGGGTAGAAAATGAGAGACTGGGGGATAAGCGGAGTTGGGGTGTGTTATGTGAAATGCCCAAAGAATCAATAAAGCAATGATTAATAGGATGAAAAACAAAACAAATCCATGACATAGTACTTATGTGTATATTCATCAGAAGAAACAGCAGAAGCATCATTGAAAAACATATTTCTGATACTCTTCTGATGAAATTTTCTGTCATCTTCTAGCATATATTTATAATAGTTTTATAAATACTGATAGATTTTGGTTGGGATATTAGTCTCTAACTGTGATTCCACAAGTTTTACTGTAGATATTAGCAGCCATCCCAGAAATTACCTTAAACCAAACTCAGTTTCTTTTTATTTTTTATTTGTTCATTTTCAAATAAGGAAAGAAAACTCACACCCCTATATATCATGGAAATTTTGCAAGGGAAAATACATTTGGAACCCAGGAGATGAAGCATGAGGCAATATTTTAGATTTCCAGGGCCTACTTGTGTGCTGGCATGTTGAACTCTATACTGTGTCTGTATTAATTAATAGATCAAGGACTGTTACTGAGATCGTGTCGGTGGCCTGCAGGTAGAAGCTCTCAAGACTATTACTGAAATATAAATTGAACTTTTCTTTCATAATAAAAGTAAATTTCTTTTGTTTTTTATCCTAAAAGCTAAGATTATTAGAATTTTAGTTTGTATTTGTTTCATGTGAATAGATATGACCAGTTTTCCAGAGTGTAGTAACATTCAAGGATATTACCAGGCTATGAGGTTCTTGTTTGACACAGAATTATGTCCATATTTTGTATGTTACCTAATTTTCTTTACTTATTGTCATTTTAATTATCTTTTGTTTTATGGTTACTAATTTTTAATGAACTTAAAAATTGCATGTTGCTTTTAGGCTTTTTCCAATTTAGTATTTTGAGAGAACCATTCCCAAATTTTCCCATTTGTCAACACATAAAGCAGGTTATAAGATCCCTGCATATATCTTCTTTATTGTAATCACGTATATTGTCTTATCTTCATTGGCCTCTTTCACAGAGGCTCTTTTTAATCCTCTTCTGAGCCCCAGTCTAGGTTTTTGTGCTTGATACACACTAACTCCCACATAATCACACATTTCAAAAATTGTAAGCTAAGAGGCAACACTGAGACACAGTGTATACTATCAATACTTCTTGGCCAATATTACCTCACTTATTATAATACTTCCTATGTTCTGCTCTAACCATTCTCTTTGGTGTGATCTGATCCAGTGCCAGAGCATGGAGAAAGGGAAACTTACACTATGGGGTACTTCTTAGTTCTCAGCTAATCTACCCACTTTGTTTTATCCTTTTCAGACTTAAAGATACTCTGGTAATTCTGTCCTGGTCCTTGGTACTCCAATTGATTATCTCCCTGTGGATGCTTAGAGAGGAGCAATGGTGCCCTTCCTGAGGCTTCTAGGTTCAGAGTGTTAATGATGAAAAACTGCTCTGCCTACTTCTTTAAGTTGACCTTACACCCTTTATGAAGTCTTCCGAGCTGGTCCTCTGCAGGAATTGAGTACTAAGTCATCAGAGTCTCGTCCCCCTGCACTGATGGGCTGTCTAACCCACTGTCTTCTTTCCTACTGTTTCCACTCTAGACTTCTGAGTGACACACAAATATTCTAGACAGAGTGTCTATAGACACAATGACCATTTGTATACTAGATATCATTCTTTGGATAATGACCTTCTCCTTGAAATTTCTGCTGATTTTTGCCTATTACTAGTCTGTTGAGGATTCTGTTGGATTAACACCCATTGGATATTGACTAAATGGGATTGTCTCTGTGTGTGTGTCTATGTGGTATTACTTTCCATATGATCAAGATCTTAAATTAGTAAGATAAGTTGCCACTGAAACCATAACTTGGATACATCACTTGTACTTAGTAGAATTTTCTTATG